TTTCAATTCTCTAGCAGTTTCACCAGCGGATGGTTCTGCCTCCACTGAAAGCTACTAAGAAAGGGCCTACATATTTTTAGAGAAAGATTGTAAGCTCTACTCTGCGTGCCCAGTATGGTAGCTACTAGTCACAGGTGGCTTTGACAATTTGAATTTAAATATTTTAAAATTAAATGAAGATTTCACCTTCTTAGTTGCATGGGCCATTAGCATTTTCAATGCTCAAAAGTATATGTGGCTACTTTATCGGACCTCTCAGACACAGAACATTTCCACCACTGAGGAATAGTTCTATTGGACAGCGATGCTCTGTTTCCGGGTGATCACATTCACTCTCCAGCTACTAGCAGTCTCTAGTTATGCAGTCTTCTTTCCAAAGTTGACACTGAAGGGTTTCCTTCTGTTGGTATGTTTTCTTTAGATTCAGTTATGTAAAAATATAATTAGGGTTTGTTTAGTGACAGAGCCATGACTAGCATATTTTCACGGCTGCTGTTAAAGGCATAGCCAAACCGCAGAAGCACCGCGCTACCAAAGCCTCAACATTTGGCCATATTTGTTTTGGCTTTTGTATGCCTAACTTTTTCTCTAACTTTTTTTTGTTAAAAATGTTGGAGTATTCCCAAATGCCCTTGCTTCTTGCTCCAAGTGTAGATTCCACTCTCGGCCACTAGGTGGTGATGGGATACTTCTTAATATTCTCGAGCTTTCGAGGCCATTTAAAATTCAGATCCTTGCAGTGCTGCTTCCTCAAAAAACTGAGAATTTTCTCATGAGCATTAACAATACCCTACAATTTTAATTCTTACAGTTGTTCAATAACGAAGGAAAGGATAACCCCCTGACATCAGGAGCCGGAAGTGAGTATAGCCGGGGCGAGGAGGTGACTGCGGGGTGGGGGTGGGGCTCTCCACCCAGCGCTTGGATTCAGCTCCTTCATTTCCCACAGGGAAGAAGCTTACACCGAGTCCGTGGAGCCTGAAAAGCTAATACAATGCCCCTACAATAAAACCCACCAGATCAGGGCCTGCGGGTTTCCTCATCATTTTACCGAGTACTGAGTCATGCCGGTGTCGTAAATTGGTTGCTTGTCCCGTCAGTGCTCGCCACTTCAGTGCTCACCAGGTTCCTCCCGCCGAAATCAGTCATCGTATCTCAAACTGTGATGATAAAAGCTGTACTGAGCAGAATGTTGTCAGCCAAATCAGGAACCTTGGACAAGAGACTCTGGCTGAGCGCACATGGCAGTGCCCTCCTTGTGATGAAGGCTGGGATAAAGATCTGTGGCAACAGACCAGCACCCCACTTGTCCCGGGCACAGCCAACTACTGTGACAACAACAATCCTGCCAGCAATACGTTAGGGGTTCTGGAAAAGAAGAGTAACGTGGCCTCGGGCATGCGTGTTCCCTTGGCTCTGCCGAATTCGCTGCGGTAGAAAAGCAATGGAAATGCACAGTAACTGAGTATCTACCTCATCAAACGCCAGGCCCTAGAAGACTCTTGTTTCTTCCTACTACCAGTGGGTTCTTCACTTTTTTCCTCTTAATTTAATTGTAGAAAGATAAACTGTGACTTTCAAACTGGCAAGTACTCTTTTCCCCTCTCCCTGCTTTGAGTTCTCACTCATTGGATGCAAGAAAGAACATTTGGTTCCTGGCCAGTTAGGTCAGTGGTTTCTGCCTGGCTCAGCAGGTAGAAGATGGGACCTGTGATCTTAGGGTTGTGAGTTCAAGCCCCGTGTTGGGTGTGGATCATGATTAAAACAGTTTTGTTTTTTTTTTAAAGAGACAAACCTTAAGCTCAGAAGAACTATTTCAAATAAAGCATCACTCTAGATTAAAAAAAAAAAAAAGGAAAGGACAGAAGTACTAAGTAATTTATGTGTTATGAAAAAGAAATTTCCCTATTATGTTTCCATATGGCAATCCTCTACCCTCAAGAGGGCAAGCTTCAAAACAGGACTCAGTGGTTAGAATTCTGAGTTAACTCACAGCTTTTGGACTGTCCTCAGATGACACCATATTAGGAGGAATTTTTAACCAAACAGAAAATCAGGGAGATTCTCTTCTCCTTGTCAAACCCTAAAGTAATGTATTGGTTCTGTTTTATAAGGACTCTAAGATAACAGGCAAATGTTTTTAAACTAAGTTCCTTTTAATTATGACTCCTGATAATATTAAATTAACTCTTAGGCATTATAAATGCTGGCTTGTCAGACCTCGCTGGCAAGGCTTGTTTATTACCAAAATCCCAAATAGTGAAGTCCCTCTCATTTTAGGCAGTGCAGGCAATGTGAGGCTCATTCATAGTCAAGCTTCTTGGATGTGAAATTCTTTGGAAACTAAGTGGATTGCCTCTCTCTTTTTCCAAGATGATGGACAGTGGACATATGAATTACAACTTAACTTTCTCGTTTGGAGCACTGAGAGGTGGGCTACTATATAGAGGTGGGCTAGAAGTATCACAAGCTAGAAAGCACGTGTAATTTCTCATGGCATTGAGTAGAAACCAAAAACTTCAAAGAACAGAATACTTTCATCTGCATCCTTTGTTTGTACTTCAGCTTTTCAAAAACTCTTTAATCCAAGGGCATGGCTGGCTCAGTCAGTGGAATGAGCAGCTCTTGGTCTCAGGGTTGTGAGTTCAAGTCCCCTGTTGGGCATAGGGATAACTTTTTTAAAAAACCTACTTAAATGCTAATAAGATTCATAAAACATTTGTAATAGTAATTTCACATAATAATAACAATAATTAAATATAATTATATGAATTTAGCTCTATGTCTTCTGCAATAACCCATGTTTCCAGAAACCTAGTCTTTAAGGGTGTTTTCTGTATCAACATATGTCTTTTTTGGATAAAAATGGATACTCATGTTATTTTGAAAGTTGTCAGCAAAATGAGTGGTTTGCCTCTGTGCAGAAAAGAAGTAACGTAGCAGGTCTACCATCCTTTTGGCCTGCTTACAAAGTTGGCCCCTGCCTGGCATCTGGGAGCTTGGATTTTTCAAAGGGTTCCCACCATTTCCAGACCTGATAAGAATATGCTTAAATTGTACCTAAACTGTACAAAAATATGGTTTATGCTGAACACCTGCTTTCCTTCTGCAAGTCTGGAATTTGGGTATGTGCTGGCAGATGGTGCCTACATGATCAGGCTCCAGTAAAAATCCTGAGTGGTGAGCTTTTCTGGCAGACAATATTTCACACGTGTGATCGCAACTCGTGGCTGGAGAAATTAAGTGTTTCCTGTGGCTCCAATAGGAGAGGAGTTCTGGAAGCTTACACCTGGTTTTTCTGGGCTTTGCCCCATGTGCTTTTTTCCTTGACTTTGCTTTGTAGACCTTTGTGATAATAAATCACAGCCGTGAGTACAACTACATGATTCCTCCTAGTGAATCACCTAATCTGGCTAGTCTTGAGGACCCCTGACACAGCCCCTTATTTAAAATCATCAAAAACTGACTTAAAATTATAGTTTATGATGATATTGGATCAAACTGGTTTTAGGTAGTCATAGGAAAGAAGATCAGTGAAGAAAGGAAAGCTCTTTAAGCTTGGTTAAGGTCCATCATTTTTGAGAAATGATACTAATCTATAAATGTTACAGGAATTAGAAGTTTTCCTGATTACTATTATATGAAATTTGGGCTTAGGTGGCATACCATACCATGAAATGATGGAAACAAATATGATTTCTGTCATGGTCTGAAACGTTAATTAATAAGATTGATAAAAATAATAAACTGTATTCTAAAAGCAGGCACATGTCTGAAAAAATCTGGTATACACTATGACCCATCAATTGCACTACAGGGTATTTATCTCAAAAATACAGATGTGGTGTAAAGAAGTGCCGTATGCACCCCAATGTTCATAGCAGCAATGTCCGTAATAGCCAAAACGTGGAAAGAGCCAAGATGCCCTTCAACAGATGAATGGATAAAGAATATGTGGTCATATACACAATGGAGTATTACTCAGCCCCCAGAAAGGATGAATACCCAATTTTTGCATCAACATGGGTGGGACAGGAGGAGATTATGTTGAGTGAAATAAGCAAGCAGAGAAAGTCAGTTGTCACATGGTTTCATTTACTTGTGGAACATAAGGAATAACATGGAGGACATTAGGAGAAGGGAAAAATGAAGGGGGAGAAATCGAAGTGAGAAATGAACCATGAGAGACTATGGACTCTGGGAAACAAACTGAGGGTTTTAGAGGGGAGGGAGATGAACCTGGAGGTGGGTATTAAGGAAGGCATGGATTGCATGGAGCAGGTGTTATATGAAAACAATGAATCATGGAACACTACATCAAAAACTAATGATGTACTGTATGGTGACTAAAATAAAACAATAAAAAAATTTTAAAAAATATGGTATACACTTGTCCTTGGCCCTTTTGGAACTGGATATATATTTCCTGACTCAGGAAGGGAAAGAATTTCGGGGGATCTGATAAACAGAGAGTCATGGGGTAAGTCTGTTTTTATGCCTTGATGTGAATAGTATAAAAAAAGAACTATAATATTAACATATTATACCTGTATACACAATTCTGATCTTCTGTTGGTTTTTACACTTGGAAAGCATATTCTTAGTGACTGACATACTTTATCACTTTATCAGTCCTGTATGAATGTCAAGTCCAAGCTCAGTGTCTTTTCCACATGGAATTTCTAGGGGTAATGGTTCCACCCTTCACTGGTAAGGATGCAGTATGAACTTGGTCATCTACAATGATATAAAGCAAATTTTAGGGGGTCCACTCTCAGTTGGCCTCCAGCTCAATAGGGAGAACTGATCACCATCAAGAAGTTTATTTCTCCATGACTGGATAAAACAAACCCTTCAACCATAAGCATGGCCCATGACCATCCACTTCCTCTCAAAAAGAAAGAAAAACAACATTCGATTTAGATGGTTTATGTTCCTCAGGAAAGGTCACTCTATAGAACTGGAAGAACTTGAGAAAAAGGAAGTACATTGAAATAAAATGCAGAGACTCAGAAACTGGCCTAAGGGGGCACAATTTAGCCATAATGTCCTTTCTGGATGTGGGAGGTTGTGGACAACAGGAATATCAGAACCACTTTTTCCAAGGCTACGTGTGATGTCTGAGATCAGTTCAGGAGCCCTGTGAAGAAAAAGAAGGAGGAGGAGGAGGAGGAGGAAAAGAGGAAGAAAATTATTATTCATTTATTTATATTTACTTTTAAAGATTTTATTTATTTATTTATTTGAGAGAAAGCACAAGTGGTGGGGAGGAGGAGGAACAGAGTGAGAGGGAGAAGGAGGCTCCCCACTGAGGCGGGAGCCCAATTCGGGTCTTGAGCCCAGGACCCCGAGATCATGACCTGAGCCAAAGGTAGATGCTTAACCAAGTGAGACTCTCAGGTGCCCCAGAAGAATTTAAAACAATCCAAGCTTAAAGTCTACATTTCCTTTCTGTCTAGAGTCCCAGGGGAGAAAAAAATTATAGCAAGAGGTTAAATGTTGACTTAATGAAAAATGGCAAAGAGTTTTTGGAGTTCCTTCAGCAGTGGGGCAAAGTCATGCTCTGTAGTCACACCCACTTAAAGAGGAACATAGGATCAAGAGTTGGGGCAGTTCGGCTCAATTTGAGAGAAAGGAGCAGCCTCAGACTTTCTCCTATTCTCCGGGCACATCCTGTGATCTATCCTGACTGAGCACAGCACACTCATTGAATGCTCCCAATCTCGTGTTGCAATGAAATGAATTACATCCAAGAAGGAAGAAGGGAGCAGAAATACCACCTGTTGGCTGAGGTCCCTGCCATCCTGAAATGAAAGTGAAAGGGAAGATGGATTGGTCATTGGGAGAGTAAGGAGCAATGACATCTTGGAAAGTTATCCAAACATTTCCACTGGCGTCCCCATGTCACTGGAAATGAAAGCAGGGCCCACTCTGCAGGTGTGAGTCCCCAGACCAGAGAGAACACCCTGAAGAACAGGGTATCTGGCGCCCTGTCTTAACGGACCAGATCTCTGGGCTACGCATCTTCCTCCCTACAGGGCTGTCTTTGCCTCATCAGAGTCTGATTTCAGTGGCCTCTTTTGCTCTGTTGTTTTGCTTTTCTGTGAAAACGTCCTCACTGAAGAATAGTGACACAGTGGAAAGACAGTATCAACCACTTTCCAGAAGTTTCTTACCTCTCTGGCTTCGAAAACGGAGGATGAAGCTTGCTCCGAGGGCGATGAGTCCTAGCACAAAGCCTCCGACTCCAGCCAGCATCTTGCTCTGGGCAGAATCAGCTTGTAGCCCTGGGGAGAACAGAAGTCAGGGTGACTCCCCGCCTCCATGTGCATCCACCCCAGGGCCCTGTCTGACACCTAGAGCCTGATCTAATCTAACACGGAGGGGAAAGGAAGGGGATAAGGCCAAGCATGGAGCCACTATGGAGAAGGAGTAGGTGTGGAAAGTACTCTAAAGTTGGGGCCTCAGAGTTCTGGCTTCCACAGGAGGAAATGCTGGTTTTAGGTCGGGCATTATTTGTTTTTTGACACAGAGAGATTTTTCAGATCCCCCCTCCTCCCGCCCAGGGCAGGATAAATGCGTGTGAGGATTGCCAGATTTCCCTGCTCCCAGCCAAGGCTGAGGCCCGTTAGGTTGATGAGGATCACAGGGTAGCGTTGTGCAGTGACACAAGACAAAATGAGCAGACCTCCGAGCCTGGAGCCTGGAGGGTCATCAGGGAGTAACTCACTCCACTCCACGGTGACAGGACTGTCCAGGCTGGGGTGCTCCACTTGGCAGGTGTAGACGTCTCCCTGCTGGGGGGTTATTTCCAGCATCACCAGGATCTGGAAGGTCCAGTCTCCGTTATGCATCAAGTTGGTGGATAAAACCCCAGCTGTTTCCTCCTGTCCATTCAAGAACCAGCAGACTTGGATGTGGCCTGGGTAGAAATCTGACACGTGGCAAACAAGCAGGTTGTGGTGGTGCGGGTGCCCCTTCTTAGAGGGGGAGACGTGCACTTGAGGCTGGACTGGGAGGGGAAAAGACACTTGTTAGGACAGCTGAGACAGCCAATGCAGTGCATTGAGCGGTTTTCTTGACAAACAGACTTCTCAGATGTTAAAGATGAATCCTATCCCCTAATAAGCTACTTAGAGGCAGGAGATGGGGAACCCCGTAGAAAAAAGGAATAAAACATTCAAATGTTCTAAGAATGACCTTGTCATACCCAATAATGCAAGAGCAAAGAAGAACAGGAGAGGGTCAGAGTTGGTGCTCTAGAACACTTCCGCCAGAAATGTAGGTGACAGTGACTAATATTCTTTGAGCAGAAATATTGGACCAGCAATGAGGCTACCTGAATTTACATTTTTCTCATCTTGTTCAAAAAGGTGTATAATCCTGCCAGATATTATCTTGGAATCAGAATATATTCAGCCCATAGATTTCCTCTGATCTAGCAGTCTGACATTCTCCCTTAAAAAAGAGGAGAAAATGGGATGCCTGGGTGGCTCAGTTGGTTAAGCATCTACCCTAGGCTGCCATCATGATCCCCATGAACCCTGGGATCGAGTCCACATAGGACTCCTTGTTGGGTGCGGAGCCTGCTTCTCCCTCTGCCTGCTGCTCCCCCTGCTTGTGCTCCAGCGCTCTTTCTCTCTGATAGATGATATATAGATAGATAGCTGGGAGAAGAAATAAAGTAGCTTGGTCTGTTCTTTTTTTTTTTAATTTTTAGATTTTTTATTTATATATTTGACAGATAGAGATCACAAGTAGGCAGACAGGCAGGCAGAGAGAGAGAGAGGAGGAAGCATGCTCCCTACTGAGCAGAGAGCCCAACGCGGGGCTCGATGCGGGGCTCAATCCGAGAACCCTGAGACCATGACCCGAGCCGAAGGCAGAGGCTTAACCCACTGAGCCACCCAGGCGCCCCAGCTTGGTCTGTTCTTGGTTTTAACCTGTCTCCGGGCTTCCTCTACCAGGAAAAAAAAGGGTTGTCGCAAAATCCGCAAACCCAATGCTGCTGGCTCTTTCCTGTCTGCCCAGCGGGGTAGTCTGGCCCCTTGCCTCGCTGGCCTGGCCCCTGGGCTCCGTGCGGACTCCCGGTCCCGGCGGCCGCTCCCGCCTCTGCAGCCCAAGTCCACCCCGTGCAGAGTGGCTGCTTCAGACCCGCCCTGTCACCTCGGCGCTTCAGCGTGAAACCCTCGTCCAGGTCGAAGTTGTGCTTGCACACGGAGTCCACGGCGCTCCGTCTCAGGTACAGGAGCTCCCTCTGGATGTTCCAGTCCCTGGCGGTTATGCGGCCCAGCTCGGACACGGCGACAAACACCCCCACGGCGCTGTCGAACTGGACAACAGCTCTCGGTTGTACTTGTATTGCTCCAGGAAGTGGTGCGTCCCGTTGAACTCCAAGCAGGTGCTCGGCCTCTGGTAGATGGAAAGCTCTGCGGGGAGTAAACCAGGAGGTGAATGGAAGAATGTGTAGGAGAGCGGCGCCTAGGTGGCTCAGGCCCTGATGCCAGAATCGGGGATCAAGTCCCCATCATGCTCCCCACTCAGGAGGGAGGCTGCTTCTCCCTCAGCCTCTGGCTACCCCTCCCCCTGCTCGCTCGCTCGCTCTCTCTCTCTCTCTCTGCCAAATAAATAAATAAATAAAATCTTTTTTAAAAAGTATGTATAGGGGAATATAATAATGAATATGGGGGTGAGGAAGCATTTCTTAAGCAAACATAAAATCACAAGGCTTTACGAATTACCTTAAAATTCAATGCTTCTGCTATGCAAAGGGCACCACTAAGAAGTTAAGAGACGGAATAAGAATACACTTGCAATGTCTAAAATTGACATGGGATCAGTATCTAAAATATATAAGCAATTCCTAAAAGAAACAAGCAAAATAAAGGACAGTGATAGAGAACTGGGTAAGGAGTGGGAATGGGAATTTATAGGAGAGGAAACTTGCAAGGCAGACTGCAGCTCACCAGTGGGAAGAAAATTCAGAAAGCAATGAGACTGAGATCTGTTAGAACACTTAGAGTCTGGATAGGTCCATGCTGGTGCTTGGCGGTGTGGAGAAAGCATCATATGGAGTGTAGCCGCCCACCCTCCCATGGCTAGGACACTTGGTCAATTTGAAGAGATGTATGCCATATGACTCAGCACTCCCACAACTTGTTAGATGTCTAGAATGTCCACACAGGTCCATAAAGAGACAAGTAGGGGTTGCGGCTGCCTGTGGCATTATTTGTGACACTGAGGAATTGGCAGGAATCAGTTGGTGTGATCATACCTGGGACAGCAAACACCTAAAGTCTGTTGTCGATGTGCACCATGGAATATTTTGTTAAAGATTTAATTAATTAGTTAATTAATTAATCTAGAGAGGAAGCATGAACAGCGGGAGGGCAGAGGGGCAAGGAGAGAGGATCCCAGACAGACTCCCCGCTGAGCATGGAGCTGGCATGGGGTTCGATCTCAGGACCTTGAGATCATGACCTGAGCTGAGATCAACAATCAGATGCGCAACCGACTCAGCCACCCAGGTGGCCCTGGATCATGGAGTGTTATGTAACCATTAGATGAAACCAAATGGTTGTACATTTTATAGTAGGAATATTAAAAATATAGGCACAAAAAATGCCTATCTTGAAAGAATGCATAGGAACAAAAACTATGTAGGAAACCCACTAGAGTGGGTGCATTCTCTGTGTATTTTAGAATCTTATCACAATGGTCCCATTAGGGACACGCAGACAATTTGATTTTTTCCCCCATGTCCTGTCCCGCTCTTTACACTTGAACATTTTAAGGCAAGTTACTCTTTTATTCATATTTGTATACAGCACCTAACCTAAGCCTTAGTAAATTAGTAAATCAGAGAATGAGCAGAAAATTGGTTTTGTTTTTTAACATGTTTCCAGCTTTACTGACATATATTTGACAATAAAATCATATATACTTAAGGTGTAAAACCTGATGGTCTGATATATGTGTACATTGTGAAATATTCGGAAGTCAATCGACATATTCATCATCTCATACAGTTACTAATTGTCCTTTTTTCTCCTTCTTTGGTGAGACCACCTAAGATTTCAAGTACACAGTATAATATTGTCAACTATAATCACATTGCTGTACACAGTTCTTCAGAACTTACCAATAACTGAAACGTAGTACTCCTTGAAAAATATCTCCCCATTTTCACCTCCCCCGGCTTCTGTAACCATTTCTATCATTTGACTATTTTAGATTTCACATATAAGTAAAATCATGCAGTATTTGTCTTTCTACATCTGGCTCATTTCACTGAACATAATGTCCTACAGGTTTATCCATGTTGTTGCAAATGTCAGGATTTCCTTCTTTTTAAAGGCTGAAGAGTATTGCATTGTGTATATATACACCATATTTTCTTTATTCATTCATCTGTTCTTGGACATTTAAGTTGTGTCCATCTATTGGTTTTGAGAATACTACTGAAATGAACACGGAAGAGCAGGTATCTTTTCAAAATCCAGATTTCATTTCTTCTGGATATATGTCCAGAAGTGAGATTGCTGGATCATATGGCAGTCCTATTTTTAATTTTTTGAGGCACCTCCATACCGTTTTCCATAGTAGCTGCACCAACTTACATCCTCACAGCTGTGTATCTGGTTCTCTTTTTGCCACATCCTAGCATCATTAATCTTCCACCTTTTGATTCTATCCATTCTAACAGGTGTGAGATGATACCTCACTGTGGTTTTAATTTGTATTAGTGAAGTTGATCATTAGTAAAGTGAATTAGTAAATTCATTAGTAATGTTGAGCACTTCCTCATATACTTGTTAACCACTATATGTCTTCTTTGGAGAAATGTCTACTCAGATCCTTTGCTGTTTTTTAAAATCAGGTTTTTTTTCTATTGAGTTACATGAGCTCCTGCATTTCGGATACGTGGTTTGCAAATACTTTCTCCCCATTCCATAGGTTACCTTTTCACTGTATTGTTTCCTTTGCTGTGCAAAAGCTTTTCAGTTTGTCTGTTTTTGCTTGTTGCCTGTGTTTTTGATGTTGTATCCAAAAAAAATCATTGTGTAGACCAGTGTCAAGAAGGTTTTCCTTTATGTTTTCTTCTAAGAGTTTTATAATTTTGGATTTTACATTTAAATCTTAAAATCAACTCTCAACTCAATTTTGAGTTGATTTTAGTATATGGTGTGAGGTAAGGGTCCTATTTTATTATTCTGCATGTGGATATCCAATTTTCTCAATATCATTTATTGAAGACTGTCTTTCCTTTATTGTATGTTCTTGGCACTCTTGTTGAATATCAGTTGACTGTAGGTATGTGGATTTATTTCTGGATGTCTATTATATTCCACTGTTGCCTATATGTCTGTATTTATGCCAGCATCATAGTGTTTTGATCACTGTAGCACTGTAATACATTTTGAAATCGGGAAATGTGATGCTGTGTTCTTGCTCAAGATTGTCTTGATCATTCAGGGTCTTTTGTAATTCCAAACGACTTTTAGAATTGTCCCATTCTATTTCTGTAAAGAATCCCATTGGGGTTTCGAAAGGGATGGCATAGAATCTGTATGTAACTTTAGGTTGTATGAACATTCTTCTAGGCCATGAACATAGATGTCTTCATTTTTCTGTGTCTTCTTTGATTTATTTTTACCAATTTTTCAGTAATTTCCATTGTATAAGGCTTACTTCTTTAGTTAACTTTATTCCTAAGTCTTTTATACTTTTTGTTGCTATTGTGTGTGATTGTTTTCTTTCTTTATTTTTGTGATTGTGATGGTGTGTGTGTGTGTGTGTGTGTGTGTGTGATTGTTTTCTTGACTTCAGTTTGGATAGTTCTTTGTCTGTGCATAGAAAGGTGATTGATGTTTGTATTTTGATTTCATATCCTGCAAATTTACTGGATTTGTTCTGTTTTTACTGGATTCGTTGGTATGTTCTAATAGTTTTTTTTGTTGAGTCTCAAGGGTTTTCTGTCTACCTGAACATGTCATCCACAAACAGGGATAATTCTATTTCTTCTTTTCTGATTTGGATATCTTTTTTTTTCAAGATTTTATTTATTTATTTGACAGACAGAGATCACAAGTAGGCAGAGAGGCAGTCAGAGAGAGAGGAGGAAGCAGGCTCCCTGCTGAGCAGAGAGCCCGATGTGGGGCTCAATCCCAGGACCCTGGGATCATGACCTAAGCCGAAGGCAGAGGCTTTAACCCACTGAGCCAACCAGGTGCCCCTGGATATCTTTTATGTCTTTTTCTTGTCTAATTGCTCTGTCTAGGATTATCTTACATTGAAAAGAGGATGCAAGAGTGGGCATCCTTGGCTTGAACCAGATTTTGGAAAGCTCTCAGTTTTCCCCCATTGATAAGATAGGCTGTGGGCTTTTCATCTATGGCCTTTATTGTGTTGAGGTTAAGGTCCCTCTACATTTTTGTTGAGAGTTTAATCATGAATGGATGTTGAACTTTCTCAACTGCTTTTTCTGTGTCTGTTGAGATGATCTTGTATTGTTTTTCCCTTTCCATTTGTTAGCATGGTGTATTGCATTGATTGATTTACTTGCTTATGTTCAACTCTGCTTGCATCCCAGGGATAAATCCCACTTAGTCATGGTGTATAATTCCTTTAATATGAATTTGGTTTGCTTGTATTCTTTTGAGAATCTTGAATATATATTCATTATGAATATTGGCCTGCAGTTTTCTTTTCTAGGGTTGTCTTTGTCTGATTTTGTTATCAGGGTAATGCTACCAGCAAAGAATTGATTATAAATTACTGGCTGCCTGGAATCTAATTGGGGCTCTACAGCTGCCTGTTGAAGGAGTCTTTAAATTGCAGCTTCTCTGTGTGACTTAAAGTGTATCATAAATGGAAAGTCCAGAATGAAATTTATCACACAACTGCCCAGACCACAGAAATGAGGACAGTGCTGCATAGCGGCAGAAGTAAAGGATATTTGAAGAATAGGTCAACACAAGGCTCACCCTGTGATTCCAGGGCTGAGCTCAGGGAGCCCAAGCTCCTTCCTCCATTCAGAAGTCTTTCTGAGTGGCTGTCAAAGGGCCTTAACAGGCCATCCTAACAGTAGGAAGAGGGTGTGAGGGGTCTGACCATCATCTCTGACTCTGCGGAGATGACAAAAGTTGATTTGGGTGGTCTCATCAGAGTCCTTGTCCTTCCTCAGGGCTCCACATGCCCCAACTTGAAGTTGCTCAACTGGTTGCTCAGGGAAGAAGAGAGACACCACACAAACCTCAGGGAGCCCTATACAACTTTAGGCTACAAGGGCTGTGCTGCAGTAGCACTTCATTTCTCTCAGCTCTCCCAAGCCTGTCTTCTTGCTCTGGGCTCTGCTCCTCAGCCTCTGAACCCGCGGCCCCATCCACTTTGGAGTCTGTGCTCTCTGTCTTCTATCAGCCTACTGCTGATACTGCTGCTCTACTCCCCCACATTGAACTCCATTTCCTGTCCCACTGAGAGTTTTCCCCAGTTGTTTTTCAATGAGGACACAGTTCTGTTAGTTCTGAATAATGGTGTCAATTTTTTTCTTTTTTTAAAGCAGTGGACTTTTTAAAAAATTCTGATGTAGTCCCAGTACTTTATTTTTGCTTTAATTTTCCTTGCCTCAAGAGACATCTAGAAAAATGTTGTTATGACTCTTGGTGGGAATGCAAACTTGTACAGCAACTGTGGAAAACACTATGGAGATTCCTCAAAAAGTTAAAAATAGAAATATCCTATGATCTAGTAATCACACTACTGGCTATTTACCCCCAAAATCTGAAAACACAAATTCAAAAGCATATATGCACCCCTGTGTTTAATGCAGCATTATTTATAATAACCAAATTATGGAAACAGCCCAAATGTCCTTTAATAGATGAATGGATAAAGAAAATGTGGTTTATATATACAATGGAATGTTATTCAGTAATAAAAAAATAATGAAATTTGCCATTTACAACAACATAGATGGAGATAGAATAATGCTAGGTGAAATAAGTCAGTCAGAGAAAGACAGATACCATCTGATTTCACTCATATGTGGAATTTAAGAAATAACACAAATTAACTAAGGATAAAAAGAGACAAACCAAGAAACGGACTCTTAACTATAGAGAACAAATGGGTGGTTTTCAGAGGGGAGAATAAGTAAAGGGGATTAAGAGTACATTTATCTTGATGAGCACTGAGTAATGTACAGAATTGTTGAGTCACTATATTGTACACCTGAAATAATATAACACTATGTGTTAATTGTACTGGAATTAAAAATGTAAAAAAACAGTAAAGCGATTGACTTTTTTTCATAATGAAATGTGAAATATTTCAAAATATTTCAAAATATCACAAAGGTCTCTCAAAACTGTTTCCTATGTGTACTTGAAAAATATTACAGATTTTCTAAAGCTCTTGAAAACATCTGAATTTTCTAAGGTAGAGCTTGAAAATTTCAGGTGTAAAATAAATCATCTTCCTAGATAGGACATATTAAGAATATGTAATTACCATAGGATACAAAGAAGGTAATGTGGACAGAACAATAACGATGTCCACAGACCAGCTGTGTGGCCTTGGGCAAGTAAAGCAACTTTAAGTTAGACTCAACTTTTTCAACTGTAAAAAAGAATGTTATTATTATTATTATTATTATTATTATTATTTACCTTGAAGGACTATGTTAAAATTAAATAAAATGTTATAAATAAAACCTAGAGCATAGTATCTGGCCCTGGTCACTGGAGGTTAGAGCCCTTCCCCTTTCAAGCTATGATGGCTTAGATTATGTGGAGAAAAGAGAAACACAAAGGACAGAACCCTAGTTCGTTCAGAATGGCTCAATCGGAGCTGCCCTTTGAGGCACAACATTAATGCTTTAAAAGGAGCATTTATTAACTTAATACTGATAATTTTTTTCTTCCCACCCCTTCTTTCACTTGGGAAGGGAGATAGAAGAAGTGGACTAAACAAAAGATTAAATCCCCAGATGTCTTCTGCCTCCCAGGTGTGTGATAGGATAGAGTCCCAGGCCTTCAATGCCAGAATGGTAAATGTCATGAACAAAGAATGTTTCAAGTGGCTATTGGAGCTACAGTTCTGTTTCATCCATGACTTGGATGCTTTCTTTCTCCAAAGTTTTCTTCATGACCCAATAGTCACTAGTATTTTCTCAACAACAGCAACATCTCCCCTTTTGTCTCTTTTTATTTTTGCTCTGTTGGAAGTTGAGGAAATCTTGAGGAGTTGGAGGCATAAGAAGTTGGAGGTATATGCCCAACACATTGAGTCCAAGTTTCCAGGACTCATATTTCACTCAATAATGAGTTCCTCAGCATCAAAACTGTGCAGAGTCCACCTGCTTGCTCCCCACAAGTGGTCTCTCTCACAAGGCAATGAGACTATATTCATTTCTCTTAAATCCGAACCCACTGGCTTCTTCATCTCATCCCACCCCTCCTACCACCCTACCACCCTCACTATTCACTGCAAAGGAGACCCCAGCTCTGTTTTCAATGTACTCATATCAGCACCACTGTCCCTGGGCCCCACAACAGCGTTGCCTCTCTGGTCACCTCCTGTGGGACACTGTCCCATCTCACCAGCTACTTCTACAGTTCCTCTGACTGTCTAGGACTCTTGCTTCTCCATTTCTTGTCTCATGGCAGGCATGAGAACGCAGCTGAGCTGCCCTGTCTAACTCTCTGTCCATCTGAGTAAGAAATGTCTGAAAATTTCCCTTCTCCCTACCTGAGAAATGGGTACATTGGGATGGAGTTTGAGCAGATGGATTTGGGAGTTTCAAATGCTTTATCCTTGGAAATTAAGGAAGGGACCTGAGAGTACCTGATCCTCAGGAGGAAGTGGGGTTGGCCTTATGGATGAGGATGAGGAAGTTGGGAAATTTTAACATAAAAAAATTCACTATTCTATCACAAATGGTCTTCTTCATGGTGAAGAAGAGGTCATTTCCTGTTTCCCACTTCCTCTCTGGCTTGTCCTGATGTGCCCTGATTCAATTCTTGATGTGAGGGACAATCAGCTGCACTGGTATCCTGTTGGTCTTAACCACAGCTTGTCCTCGTCACCCTCCCCTGCTGCTCTGGCCATCATTGGTTCCTCACTGGTTCCAATGATGGTTCCTGCCTGGTTCTGTGGAAGGGGCCCCTACCTGGAGTGCTGATTCTACAGGATGATCTTCAGATCTTGGACAATGTAGACTAACCCTAATTTTCCCTTTTGATCTTTGATGGATGTTGAAATGTCATTTTGATGACCCTTTTGTGAGAATCTTGTCCCTCCAAAATCACTCCAGACCACCAGGTACCATTGTCCCCATCACATGCACATCCTCATCTCCTTCTCTCTCTGGTGAGAATAGCAGCACTTGCACGATGTCAGAGCCCCAAAGTCTTTCTCAAGGTCTGGGCCCACATGGAAAACTCCCTCTCATCCTGTGAGCTAGATTCTCCAAGAAGAGCAGCTCTGCACTTACCTGGGGTGTCTCTGCTCTGAACCAAAGGGGAGCTCAGCATCACCAAGGACATCATGAGGGCTGCCATCCCTGCGACCTCAGTGATTCTAAGGATCACCATCCTGGAGCCTGAGAAAGGATGGGGGCTGAGACACTTGCAGTCAGAGCAGCTCTCACCCGATGGGCCCCACTCCTAAAATATCAGAGATGATGAGCTTAGACAGGCTTCCTTATTCCCTGGGTGTGGCCAGATTCTGAAAAAAGAACCAATAAGCAGGAATTGTTACTCACTAGACAGAAGTGTGGTATAAAGCACATGATTCTTTAAGATGTTAAGATTCACCAAAGACACTATAAGGAAAGGGATCTTCATTTTGAGCAACTGGGTGAGTCATAAGGCTTGATTTTTTTATATACTTTCCTCCTTAGGAACAGATCCCAAGGAATGTCATTTCCTTTCCATGGTGGAATGCCATCCCCCTTGTATGGACATGTTCTGGCACAGAGAAAGTCCTAAGTAGTGTGTTAATGACCTGGGGAGATTAAACTGCCCATCCCAGAATTCAGAATTAGCCCTGGGAGTTAATGCAGTTATGCAAAGTGTATGGTGTGGTTCCTCTCAGTGGCTCTGTAGCTTTTAGAGGAAAAAGGATATGGACTAAGGGTCTCTGGGTTTCATACCAGATAAGGCATGGAAGTAGGTGTACAACTTTACACAAATTACTTGCCTTTCTGGGCCACGATTTCTTCATTTTTGAGATGGGTTTGGTAGCACCTGCATATCAGTAATTCTTGAGGGTGAAATGGGAGCGCTGTGTAAAATGCCTTAGAAACTTACAGATCTGAGAGTTTTGAGTAGAGCAAGGAAGTTATCAAGAACCATTTTTTTTTCAATTCAACATACATACATATTTTTGGTAAATTTTCAACACCAAATAGTCCCGTCAAACAATACAGATAGTTCCTGAAATGAAGTGTATATACTCCTGAAATGTATAGTTCCTGAAATAAAGTACATATACTCCCACATAACTCACAACCTAAGAAAGACAATAACATAACAAATATAATTTCCAACAAATATATTAAGTACTTAAATATGGTGTTGATGAATTGAGTAAAAGCGTACAAAACACTTAATTTAGGTCTTCTATTAAGTATAAGGATGCATTATAGCGAAGTGGTCAGGCACAGGTTTAGAAAGCCCCTTTCTACTACTTCCATATTTTTTTTTAACCCTCTCTGACTTATTTCCTCTCACACAGAATGAAGATCATTATGTCATTGATTTATTGGGAAATCTAACTGGGATTATACTGAACATTTGTGACTCTCTTAAATCAAAGCCTCTCACATAGTAAGGAATCAAGAAATGTTAATTATTATAATGCAGGACTACTTCAGAACATGAGAAATTATTTATCTAATATATTATTTAATCCAGTAATATAAATTCTATAATTTTAACAATAAACACCAGAGGAATTTCTGCAGTTCCCCATCGCCTTAGTATATTTCCAAATCCCTCTGTAATAAAACAGGATATCATGGGGCACCTGGGTGGCTCAGTTGGTTAAGCGGCTGCCTTTGGCTCAGGTCATGATTCCAGGATCCTGGGGTTGAGCCCCACCTCTCCCTCTGCCTGCTGCTCTGCTTACTTGTGCTCTCTCTCTCTTATCTCTCTGTCAAATAAACAAATAAAATCTTTTAAAAAAAACCAGCATATCAGCAAAATATCTACTATTAGGCTTAATGTGAAATGATTAGGGAAATTGTCCTTAACATTAAAGTTTGAAGGTGCCTGGCTGGCTCAGTCAATAGGACATGTGACTCTTGATGTCGAGTTGTGAGTTCAAACCCCATGTTGGGCATGGAGCCTACTAAAAAAAACCCGACAAAAAACAGTGGGATGTAAATAAAGGTGTCTTATATCACCAAATTCTGTATAAGAAGAAATAAAAGAGTAATAATTAGAAATGAAACAATTAGGTATTTTTTGCCTTCTGTTTATCTCCCTGGAAACATCAAAGAATTCCTGTAAAATTATCAAAGGTATAAAATGGTAAATATAATATCATTTGATAACAAATGAATTCCTATATGATACTGAGAATCAACATGAAGGGACGCCTAGGTGCCTCAGTTGGTTAAGGGTCTGACTCTTGATTTGGGCTCAGGTCATGATCTCGGGGTCGTGAAATTGAGCCCCAAGTCAGGCTCTGTGCACAGAGGGGGTCGGCTTGAGTTTCTCTCCCTCTGCCCCTCCTCCCAACTCCTGCTCTCTCTCAAATAAATAAATAAGTCTTAAAAAAAAAAAGGAATTGATGCAGAGAAGGACAATTATCATACGGTTTCACTCATATGTGGAAAATAAGAAATAACACAGAGGACTATAGAGGAAGGGAGGGAAAACTGAATGGGAAGAAATCAGAAAGGGAGACAAGCCATGAGAAAATCTGAACTCTGGGAAACAAACTGAGGATTGAAGAAGGGAGTGGTGTTGGAGGATGGGGTAACTGGGTGATGGGCATTAAAGAGGGCACGTGATGTGGTGAACACTGGATGTTTTACGCAACTGATGAATCACTGAACACTATATCAAAAACTAAATATGTACCCATGTGTTGGCTAATTGAACTTAATAAAAAAAATGAACCGACGTGAAGTTTTGAAAAGTTATCCACTCACGAAGGTCACTAACCATAAAGAATACAAAGTCAACTTCAATGACATATTTCAAAACGATCTCAAGGGGAAGATAATTTGATTTGATCTTTTTGTTTTAAGTAGGATCCACACATAACATGGGGCTTGAACTCACTACTCTTTGATTAAGAGTTGCATGCTTCACCTGACCAGACCAGCCAGGACAGGAGGAAGATGGTTATGATGTCTCTATTGTAGTTTTTCCCCTCTTATTACCAAATCCCGAATAGGTTGGGACTCTCTGGGTCACATTGATCCTGGCAGTTTCCCACCTCCACTCCCAATGGTTCTGTCATTTTCTTTCCCAACCAGAGATGCCCCTTGTGACATTTTCTGGTTGGCTGAGCCCCACTGAGCAGTTTCACCTCCACTCTTTCTCCTTCCACCAGAAAGGGAAGTAAGTCCTGGACTCAGAGCTCCTCCCTGCCCTGATCTGCCTCATTCTCTCCTCACTGTCTGCCTCACAGGGGCCACTGCAGATGCACCTTGAAGACATAAGGAGCCGGTCCCAAGTCATGATCCTGGGAGCCATTGTCCTGGCTGCCCTGCTGAGCCCCCATGGAATTGAAGCCATTAGGGGTGAGTGCTCGGGTGGGCCAGAGAGGGTGGGAACTATAAGGAGATCTGTAGCCCACAGGTGCTGTTTTCTCTCTCATTTCTCCTCTTTCTTCCTTTTCTCTTGTGTGAGGTCTTTTGTTTTTTGTCTTTCTGACAACACTAAGAACCAGTGTTTATCAAACACTGACCAAGTGCCAGATCTCATTTCATTTTCACAACAGTCTTTTCAGGAGGGCATTTATTACTCTCATTCTAGAAATGAAAAGACTGAGATCTAAGAGATGTCTCAGGAACCCCATGTCACAGAGCCCATGAGTGAGAGCCATGGCTCTTCATCCTCTGGAGAGCATCTCTCTCTGTTGCTCTTAAAGTCCAGAAGTAAACTTCTTGTAATTGGAGTCTGCGATGCTTGTTTTTGCTTTTTCCTGCTTCATTCAGTCCTCAGCTTGCTTCATTCTCCCTTTTGTCTCCTCACATCTCTGATGCTGCGAGAGTGGCATCCTTACAAAGAAAACCACTGGTTACTTCTCTGTATATTTTACCTGTGTCACTAGTAATTTTTGCGACGTGACCATTTCCTCCTTCCTGGAATCTTTCTCTTGTTCTTTGTCTTTGAGGAGCGCACTTCCTCCTTGTTCTTCCTACTCATTAGTCCTCTCCCTTTCAGCCTTAAAAAAAATTTATTTAAGTGACCTCTACACCCAACATGGGGCTCGAACTCACAACCTGGAGATTAAGAGTCACATGTTCTTCTGACTGAGCCGCCCAGGTGGCCCCAGCAACCTTTTCTAAATGTCCATGTTTGTCAGGATGCAGGACCACACACTCTGACCCTGCTATGATGACTTTGTACAGTTATTGGGTGACTCAGTCCAAGCTTATAACTTCATCTACCATGAGGACTCCTAGTGTACATTACTAGCCCAGTCTAGCTTGAGATCCATCCATTATTTCAAAGACCCTCAAATTAACTCCACTTTGTCTCCCAGAAATTAAACTCATTATGTTCCCCAAAGAATGTTTTATCTTCTCTCACTTCCTTCTCCTTCATTACTTTTCCTGTCACTGATGCCACAATTCTCCACATTGCCCAGGTATTCTGGACTCCACTTCATATCCCTTCTTCCACCATGGCACTTAATGATTCCTGTGGCTTCTCGTCTCTCCAATGCCATTCAAACCCATCCTTCCTTCTCCTCACCCCATGCTGTTGCCCCTTCTACACCCTCATCACTTTCCACTTGTTTGCTGAAGAGTCCTGCTGGTCTCACTTACAAACGAGCCTCTTCCAATCTATCTTCCCTATAGCTGTTACCTTCAAGTAGAAATCTTATTGTTGCCATCTTGATTAAGATCCCTCTATGATTTCCCTGGGGCTGTGGATCAAATCCAAACATCTGCAATTAGCATACAAGGCAGGTCCCAGTGTAGCCCCTCCATATCCTTTGAGCTTCAGTGGTATCCAAGGACTCTGAGTCCTCCAAGAAGTCCCATGCTTCTCTGCTCCTGTCTCCTGTGAGAGATGCCACTTCCCTCTATTTCTGCTTTGCTATCTCACATAGAGACCATCTCTAGGAAGTTTACTTCAATCTCATTCCAATGCTCTCCTTTTGCTCCCAAGTAGCATCTGCATACACCTTGTGATAATGCAGCAGTGATGAAACCATATATATACTAATTGTCTTTTCTTTGTCTCTCTCATTCTTTGGATTTCAAGTAGCTTGAAGACAAGGACCATGTCTTCTGAGTTATATCTTTAAGTGCCTGGAGAATGAATAATGGCTCATAATGAAGGCTTTTTTGACTAAATGAAAA